TTTGTCTCCATGTATCTTTTGATTTCCTTCCTTGATCTCATTGTTAACCCCGTTCATTATTTAGTAACATGTTATTTAGCCTCTGTATGTGTGTGTTTCTCAGGTTTTTTCTTGCAATTGATTTCTAGTTTCATGGCATTGTGGTCAGAGAAGATGCTTATTCTGATCTCCATCTTCTTAAGTTTGTTGACACGTGTTTTGTGCCCTAACATGTGGGCTAGCCTAGAAAATGTTCCATGTGCACTTAAAAAATAATATAAATTCTGCTGTTTTGGGATGAAATGCTCTGAAAATATCTATTAAATCCATGTGGTCTAGTGTATCATTTAAGGCCACCGTTTCCTTGCTAATTTTCTGTCGGAAAGATCTGTCGGGAAGATTGATGTGGATGAGGTGTTCAAGTTCCCTACTAGGACTGTCTTACTGTCACTCTCTCCCTTTACGTCCATCAGAATGTGTTTTACACATTTAGGTGCTCCTGTGTTGGGTGCATAAATGTTTACAAGCGCTACATACTCTTGTTGGACTGATTATCATTATGTAGAGCACTTCTTTGTCTCTTATCATCTTTGTTTTAAGGTCTATTTTGTCCGATATAAATATTACTGCCCCAGCCTTTTTTATTTCCATTTGCATAGAATATCTTTTCCATCCCCTTACTTCCAGTGTGTGCATTTTTCACCCTGAGGTGGGTCTCTTGGAGGCAGCATATATATGTGTCTTGTGTTCTTATCCATTCTGCTACCCTATGTCTTTTGATTGGAGCATTTTAGCCATTTACATTTAAAGTGATTATTGCTAGGTAGGTATTTATTGCCATTTTATTCTTTATAACTATGTTTCTCTTTTTTTTCCTTTCTTAAAGAAGTCCCTTTAACATTTCTTATAACACTGGTTTGGTGGTAATGAACTCCTTTACATTTTTTCTTTTTTTTTTTTTACTTATCTGGGAAGCTCTTTATTTCTTCTTCAATTTTAACTGATAGCCTTACTGGGTAGTCTTGCTTATAGGTTGTTACTTTTCATCACTTTGAATATTTTGTGTTAGTTCCTTTTGGCCTGCAAAATTTCTGTTGTGAAATCAGCTGACAGTCTTATAGGAGCTCCCTTGTAGATAGCTCTCCCTTGCTGCTTTTAAGATTCTTTCTTTGGCCCTGGCTGGCGTAGCTCAGTGGAGAGCGGGCTGCGAACCAAAGCATCACAGGTTTGATTCCCAGTCAGGGCACATGCCTGGGTTGCAGGCTACAACCCCCAGTAACCACACATTGATGTTTCTCTCTCTCTCTTTCTCCCTCCCTTCCCTCTCTAAAAATAAATAAATAAAATCTTTTAAAAAAAAGATTCTTTGTCTTTAACCTCTGGCATTTTACTTGGTATGTCTCAGAGTAGACCTGTTTGGGTTCATCTTGCATGGGACTTTGCACTTCTGGACTTGTGTGTCTATTTCCTTCACCAGGTTAGGGAAGTTTTCTGTCATTATTTCTTTAAATAGATCCTCAATCCCTTGCTCTCTCTCTTCACCTTCTGGTACCCCAGAATGTAATGAGGATGTTGTTATGCTTTATGCTGTCCCAAAGGTCCCTTAAACTATCCTCATTTTAATTCTTTATCTTTTTGCTGCTCTGATTGTGTGTTTTCTGCTACCTTGTCTTCCAGATTGCTACTTCAGTCCTCTGCTTCAACTAGTCTGCTATTGATTCCTTCTAGTGTATTTTTCATTTTACATACTGTATTCATTTCTGAATGGTTCTTTTCTACGTCCTCTCTTATGCTTACTGTCTCTTTGTTTAAGTTCTCACTGAGATCATACATTCATCCTTTAAGTTCCTGGAGCATCCTTACAACCATTGCTTTGAACTCTGTATCTGGTGGTTTGCTTGCCTCCATTTCATTTAGTTCTTTTTCTGGGGAGTTCTCCTGTTCTTTCATTTGGAACATGTTTCTCTGTCTCCCCATTTTAGCTGCCTCTCTATCTGTCTCTGTGTATGAGGTAGGTCTGCTATGTCTCCAGTTGTGGTATGGTGGCCTTATGTAGGAAGTGTCTTGTGGGGCTCAGTGGCCACCTAAGCTAGGTGCTCCTGGAATGCCTTTTTTGTTGGTTATGAGAGCCCTCCTGTTGTACTAGAGTGTTGATTGCTGTTGTCCAATCCTCAGGTGGGGTTGACCCTCAGGCTGGCTATGAGGATCAAGCCCAACCACAGTGTGTGAGCTGCTTGTTGGAGGCTGACCTCACGAAGTGGAATTTGCTCCAGCACGTCTGGTGCCTGCCAAGACCTTCCTGTGGTTGTGCCACTTGTGGAGCTGATCGAGTTGTGCTCTGATGTGGAGTAAAACTCGCATCTGGGCGTGTGTGTGTGTGTGTGTGTGTGTTCTGGGGCCTCTTGGAAGGGACTCTGGTGCAGGTCAATGTCAGGTGCTACCTGTGACCAGCTTTGGGCAACCTGTTGGGAGCTACAAAGTGACCCACCATTTGTGGCTGCATCTGCTGGACCTGGGTGTGTGTGGAAAGGGCCAAGCTGTGGACCAAGGCTGGTTTCTACTAGCAACAACCCAGGGGAAGTTCAGCAAATGGCCCATAGTACCACCTCCACCTGCCAGCCATCTGTTAGGCTCAGTCTCTGAAAGCACTTCTGGTGGTATGCAAGTAGCATGAGGCAGGTTCTCAGTGAGTCACCAGGTAGAGGCAAATGGTGTTCATCAGACTGATATCGATTCAAACTCAGTGCCAGTGCTGGGTCTGAAGCCACTCAGCAGAAGTCAAAGCCTCTATCTAGGCCAACTACCACCACCAGATACCCACGGACTTTGTTGGGTAGGGTCTCAAGGAATCATCAGAGTGAGGCCAGCAGAGTTTATCGGGCCCAAAGAGACTAAGGTTTGGCCATGAAAAGGGAGGGCACTGCATAGGTACAGTGGCATCAGTTGGATGTGCAAGGGAAAAATACCCCCACCCTTACAGCCACACCACTCAGTCTCTCCCTGCTCATCTCTGCTTCCCCAAGTTTATCCAGACCTCCTGGAGAGCCTTCCGAGAACGTCCTCACCATGGGCCCAGACTGGCAGCAGCCAACTGACTCCTCTGCAAGGGGCAAGCTCAGCAAGGCCACCAGGAGTAGGGAGGGTGAGGCTAGTGGGTCTCCCCCCGGGGAGGGCCACACCTGTCAGGTGGGAGGGGAGCAATGGCCCTTGCCTTGAAGCCACATGAGTCAGTCCCTGACAGCCCCTGACTTCACCTGGACCTCCTGAAGAGCACTCCGAGAAAATCTACATGGCATGCCCAAGCAGCTGACTCCTCCATGGGGCATGTGGGGTGGGCAATAGAGAGTCAGGAGGCTGGGGCTAGTGTATTCCCCCAGGCTGATGTCATATGGAGGGGACCGCCTGACCCAGGAAAGATGGCATCTGTGGGAGGTTTGGACAGAGACTCAGCACAGGGACCCTGGCAGCTGTCCCTTCAGCTCTGTCCCCACAGCCACACAACCCAGTCTCTCCTCACACAACTCCAGTTTGCTCTGAGCCATTCTCTCTGCACCGCAGCCCAGGGTGTATGGCCATGCATGAGATTTTGTGCACTGACCCTTTAAGAGTGTGCCTGGGGTCTCTAGCAGACTCCCGTCTCTCCCTGGCAAATAGAATCCCCACTGATTTTCACAGTCAGATGTTATGCGGGCTCCTCTTTTTAGCTCTGATGCTCTGGGATGGGGAGTCCAGCATCGGGTTGAGACCCTACACTCCTCAGGGAGACCTTTGCAGCTAAGATATCCCTCCCTACTCTCAACCACCACATTCGGGTGCGGGGCCAGCTCTGTTTGTATCTCTGCCCTTCCTACCAGTTTCCATGTGGCTTCTTCCATAAATCCTTGGTTATGAGTCTTTTGTTCAGCTAGTCTTCAGTTGGTTCATCAGGCTGATTATTCTATAATTTAGCTGTGATTCCAGTTCAGTCCTGGGAGGAGTGAATGTAGCTTCCACCTACTCTGCCGCCATCTTGGATTGGGAGGGTTTCTGTTGTTGGGCAACAGGAGCTTCCAGATAAGCAGTGGCCCCACTCAGGAGGAACCGGCCTCAGGAAGAGCCCATCTCCACCGTTCTGAAAGAAGTGAGATGCTTTTGTTCTGTTCGGTTTAATATCCAGGTGCCTCTGCATAAGCTCTCACAAACCCTTTTTGGTAGTACGTAGAACAAAATGTGTGAATAAGGAAGGACACCTCAATTCCATTGAAAATGGTATTTATTTTATTTCCTGGGCCCAAAGCTAGGGGTAGGATGCAAGTCCCTCCAGACAGTCTTTACTTCTTCCAGCCACCTCCCCACACACAGCCCAGATAAGAGAGGCCTGTGTTCTATGGGGGGCGACACCTGGCCCATGCATGCTCACCTGATGAGTGGCCCAGGTCACACCCCACCCCAAGGCTGACTTCCAGGGCCCAAGGCTGAGTCAAGAGTTCAGGAGGGTACACTTGCCTTTCCCCATGTTCCAGGGGATAAGAAAAGTGGAGAAATAAAAATGACCCATGGAAAATCGATGGGCTTCCCCTGAGCAGTGATACAGTGAGTCAACCTGCCAGTCAGCACTCGTAAGCGCTTTGAGAAGCACTTCCTGCAAGAAATTAAGCCTCTGCCCAATGACTTTCCAATAACAGAAATAATATATCTGAATTTTATTCATTCAGAAATAAATGTCAGTAGTGGTTGCTCTTTACATGTAGCAGCTGAACCACATTAAATATTTGGATGTCTTTCTGATCATATTTAGAATAATGATGAAAGCCATGAATTACGGGGTACAAAGCCTGACGTGTTTATTGCCTGCCATCCATTTTATAGCTTTCTTTGGGGGCTTGAGTTGCTGAATAGGATGATTGTAAGCTGCTTACAAAGAGAAGTCCGGCATTGCCTCCAGGCTCAAGCTCACCTCCCTGGAGCAGGGTTTCAGGGCTTGACTGCAGGCCCGAGGCCAGGTGGGGCCTTCTCTGACCGGACCTGGTTCTCACCTGCAGTGCCCCCAGTCATCCGTGTCTACCCAGAGACCCAGGCCCAGGAGCCAGGGGTGGCAGCCAGCCTGAGGTGCCATGCGGAGGGCATTCCCATGCCCAGGATCACATGGCTGAAAAATGGCATGGATGTCTCCACCCAGATGTCCAAACAGCTCTCCCTTTTAGGTAAGAACTGCCCTCGATGTCTCTGTGCTGTTCCCCTCAAGTTTAAGCCAACACTGTCCCCAGGAATGGAAGGGAGGGGGTGATTTGTTTCTAAGTCAGACACGTTGGGAGCAAACAAATGTGTCCCCCAATTTCTCTACTGTCTGGGCTCACACAAGGCTTGCAGGCTTTCTGAGAGTGATGAGAAGCTGCTGGCCAGGTCCCAGGTCCCCCGCAGTTCATCTCAGATGTTCTGGCCCTGGCTGGGTGTGTGTCCGAGTGGCTGGCCACCCTCAGCCCTGCTGAGGGGCTGTGTTTTTAACACCAACGCTGTCAGTAGCCTTATGAAGAGCAAGGGGAGGGAGGGAGGGATTGGGGGTCCCAGCTGAGCAGGCCACCCTGAGAACCATCCTTTCTGCAGCCAATGGGAGTGAGCTCCACATCGGCAGCGTTCGGTATGAAGACACAGGGGCGTACACCTGCATTGCCAAAAACGAAGTGGGTGTGGACGAAGACATCTCCTCACTCTTCATCGAAGACTCGGCAAGGAAGACCCGTGAGTCCCCGCTTGCCTTTGAGCTCCTCGCTGAGCTCGCTGGGATGTGTTGAGTGGCGGGGAGGGGAGTAGCTGACCAGGGCCAAAGCTGCCAACCACGTGCCCCTGAAGAAGGGGTAACACCCTTGTCCTTCTGTGTTCAAACCTGGGGACAGAGGGTACCCAGAGGTGGAGCAGGGGGAGCCCTTGGCTGGCCACCCAGACAACTCTGGGAATGTAGACAGAGGACCTCTCTGGACAGCAGGCAGCCCAGGACCCCCAGGGGGCTCACATATCCTGGCCCCAGTTCTGTCTCCTACTTGCTGTGGGACTGGAACCTCTGCTCTCCCCTACAGAACCACCCCCAGGGGCTGCTGTCCCCCGGGGGGGCCCAGGAACCAGACCGAGCACACCTGCCTTTACTCCAGGGGTCATAGCCCACCTGGGTGCTGAGGGTGCTCTCCCTTGCAGCCACTGTGCCCACAGTGGGTGTGCTGGCGTGATTTCAAGGATGTGGGTATTGGGCACAGTCTCATTCCCTGGGTCAAAGACTCTGAGCTGAGCCTTTTTCAGCAAGGGAGATCATGAGAAGGGTTTCAGATCAGGAAGAGCTCAGCTGAAAATCAGCGCCTCCGGGCAGGTCCCTGGCAAGTCTGAGAGGCTGTTCCTCCCTTTGCGTCATCCATGCAGGCAGGGAATCCCGTTAGCTTCTGTGTTCCTAGGACCCAATTTCAAGGGCTCCTTCAGGATTGAAAGGGCCCTCAGACCGGGAATGTGTGTCCATGTGCTCAGTGCCCCCAGGTCGATGGTGGGGAGTGAGCGGTGGGGAGCAGGTGCAGGATGGGCTGGACAGCACGTGTCACGAACTGAGTGCTGCAGAGAAGGTTCTCATGCTGCTTTCTTCTTTTTCCTTCCCTCCGTCGGTCCCCATGCCCCCACTTCTCCGCGGCTGCAGTGGCAAACATCCTCTGGCGCGAGGAAGGTACTGAGCCTTGTTCTGTGTCATGCCTGTGCCCACATGTGTGTGTAGTTCCCAAACAGGGCACCTTTGCATGGGCCACCAAGCGGTCCCCACAAGTGGGGTTCACGTGGCGAATTGAATGGGAGGGAGAGGTCATGCCAAGCTCAGTGGCACACACTGAGAGGCAGACTTAAAACCTGCAGGCATCTTTAGTGGTCACTTGTGCATTAGAATTCGCAATGGGAAGTTTCCGTTCCAAGCTGATTGAAACCTCCCCCAAAGGGAACTACCCAGCAGGGCTCCTGGTCAGATCCGAGCCATAAGCTTTTTTTTCCAGTAGCTGATGTGGGTGTTAGGGTTCAGTGTGTACTCTGAGGAAATCCTGAAGGGAAAAGCTACCGTGATTCCTGTAAATATATATTTATGTGTATATTTTTAAATGAATACACTTTCTAAATGTGCATTTATCAAACCATCTTTAGACATTAGGTTGGGACTGTACAAAACTGCCACTTTTGTACATCAAATATGGCCTAATATGGACAATGTCGTATGCTTCGAGAACCAGCAGGCTCGAGGGGGGGCTGGCCTAGAGCACCTGGGTCACTGCTTGGGGTGACGTGCATACATGCACCGTCCTAACACTGAACCCTCTGCCTGAGCAGGTCCAGCCCCGTGAGGTGGCTCCCTACTCCAGGAGGCAGAGGGGAGTTCGAGCAGCCACAGAAGGCACTCTGTGATTTCAGGGTTTAAGCACAAAATCCCCCTCCTTAAAAAGCTGCCTATTTCCCAGCTCATTTTGCTTCTGAAATGTCGCATGGTGTTACCAACAGTCTGGAACACACATGCTCACACACACACACTCAGAACAGCTTCCTGACACCAGACACTGAGGCTTACATGGTGAAGCTGGGAGTAAAACAAAGGCTAAACCTGGAAAAGTGAGCAATTGCAGCCAATAGGCTTTGGGAATCATGGGAAGAACAAGTCATAGCAACAGTCGCTACTCATGCACAGTTGTCCCTTGACGCCGCCTGACCCTAGCTCCCAGGCCACAATGCACACAGCTTCCACTCTCCATCTTTAGAAGGTGATGTTTTCTGAGGTGAGGTTACAGCAAAGGGACCCACAGGGTGCCCACGGCCCTGTGATCTGTGAAATGCAGCTACAGAGGCCCACTTAGAGCCCAGGCTACCTGAGGGCTGGCAGGCGCTGCACCAGCATTAGACCACCTGGCAGCGAACAAACCCCATCGCCCTGGCTGCCAGCCACTTGCACCCTTCCCTGCCATCTCCAACAGGGAAAAGCTGAGGTGAAAACAGAGGCCAGCAGGCTACGGGCACTCTCACACCTCCCTAGGAGAAACGAGCTGATGAGAGCTCACAGAAGCAAAGGAAGCTCCTTCCTGCCCCCTAAGGAGGAGCTGAGTTCAGACAGAACCTTCCAGGGGGTTGGATCAGAAGCCCGGACCTCTTGTGAAGTCAATTGGTCCAGGATATTTGTTTAGTCTTAGGTTCCACTGCCAACTGCAAGCCAGGCACTGTGCTCAGCCCGAAACATAGCTACAGCTGCAAACCCCATAGAGATCCTATTAAGCCTTCAATCTCACATTGGTCCTTCCAGCCATTGATTTTCTGAGAAGCCCCAGGAAGCTGTTGCTGGGGCCTGTGGTTGTGCAAGAGCTTTGTGTCGCTCGGGCACCAAGGTTTGGGGAAGGGGTTTGCCAGGTGAGAGTGTACAGAAGTGGAGGTCCTGCTGGGGGCTGAGATGAAGCTCTCATAGGTGGCCAGCTTTGTCAGGCTCTCCGGGACAGGCTGCCCAGCACCCAGGTCCCATCGGGAACTATGCAGAGACTCCCAGGAAATACCAACTTCTGAGAGGCAGGGGTCAGGTTGTTCATCACAGCAGGAAACCTGCTGCCCAGAGTCCCTCTCTGCACAGAACCAGGGTCAGCTGAGGCTGCAGCACGGGGTCAGGGACCTCCACCCCCTGGGAGCCACAGGCACGGGTGCCGTCCTCAGGGGCCTGCAGAGCCCCTGGGAGCAAATGGGATGGTGATCACTGTCTGCCCGTCTCACCGTTTTCCACCTCACTAAAAACGTACTCGGATCATCAGTTACAGCAAGGCACTGGTTTTCTCTGCATGCTAGGAAGAGTGTTCTGTATATTTATTTAATATATTTCATTCTCTTAGAATTCATAGGAAACTTTTTATTGTTCTACCTTCAAAAGAAGTGAAGGGGGGTGAGAGAGCAGGAGGAAGAACTCCAAACTTACCCATCTTGGTGCCAGGGTTGCCTTCCGCAGAGAGGCAGAGTGAGGGGACAAGCCCGGAGTGGGAGATCAGGGTCGAACCCCAGCTCCAGCACAACGGCGAGTGGCCTCCCTGGGCCTCGGTTTCTTTGTCTTTAAAATAAGGAGGCTGAACTAGCTGGTGGTCCCCAGCCTTTTCTTCCCACATGGCCCAGACCTGGCTGGGGTAGGGTGGGCAGGCAGGAACGACCAGGGGTGGACTCTGTCACCTGGTGCGGGGCTGCCACGGAGACCCTGCTGGGGCAGAGGCTGGAGCCAGCAGTCTTGGAGGAGGGGTTCACTGGAGCAGACAGGCTGGGACTGAGGCTGGAACAAGGCACACCTGCCACATACAGGGAAGTGGCGCTGTATGTACCTGAATGTGTTTAAAATAAAAGCCTTTGCCTTTTGGGAATCCTCTGATCCATTCTGAACATAGTGGACAATGAACGACCAAGGGGAGTTTTGCCTTTCAGAAGAGGAAAGGTCAAATGTAGGTCAAAGACAAAGCTGTCATTTATTTGAAAACTTGGGTAGGTGGCCAGCCATAGTCAACTGATGTGCATGTCTGGGAGGGCACCTGGGGACTGCAGGTCCCTCCATGTGCTACACTGACTGACAGCCCTCGGGGTGCCTTCTCCCCATGCTCCCCACACACCCCGCCCCACCTTGACCGGGACTTCCCCTCAGCACCGCAACAAATGCAGTTCCGTGTGTGCCCGAGGTGGATCGTCACCCTCGCCCCAGGGCCAGCCGCTAGGCCACCCCCACATGGCTGTGTTTGCTCCTCGCAGGCCTCAGCGTGGGGAACGTGTTCTACGTCTTCTCTGATGACGGCATTGTCATCCTGCACCCCGGGGACTGTGAGATCCAGAGGCACCTCAAACCCACAGAGAAGATCGTCACGAGCTATGTAAGTGTCCGTGCCCGGGGCTCTTCCACCATGCAGGCAGACAGAACGTGAAAGTCACTCCTCCACCACAGGCCATTTGATTCTTAAGTCCCATCTGCTCTATGTGGTGTGGTTCCAGGTCTGTCCCAAGGCCGAGAAAGACCTGAAGCCAAGCACTGAGATGCTCATTCCTTCATCAGGCAGCCACTTCCACGCACTGAGCCCGAGGCGAGGCCCAGGGCATGTGGATGGGTGCCTGGCCTCCCCAAGTTCAGAGGCAGATGACTGGGACAGCACTATGGATGGCTGCCCAGAAGGCGCTGTTGGAAGGATGTGCACGCTGCCCTGGGAATGGAGGGGAGGGGCGTCCCCAGGCCTGGAAGGAAGAGTTGGAGCAGGCCCCTGGGACGCGTGCTCCCTGGGCTCAGTTTTGAAGAATGAGTAGGAGCTGGGATGGGTTTCTGGAAGAAATGTCAGGCACGTGGAGAAGAGAGACATAAAACATGTCCTGTCTTGGGAACGGAAGTCCTCGGTGTGCCCAGAGGGAAGCATGGATGTAGGAAGGGCCTGAGATCAGGACAATCACTGAGGATCGAAGGTGAGGAGTTCTAATGGCATCCTAAAGCTCGGGGAGCTCCTGACGGGCTTCCCACGAAGGCTGGCCTTGAGCAGGTTGCTCCAGAACATGGGCAGGCCCTCGCTGAGGGCGGAGATTGGCGAGGCGGCCCAGAAGCACAAGACGGAGCTGTAATTATCCAGGCGCAAGGCTGGTGTCCTGGTTCGGCCGGTGGCCGTGGGAATGGGGAGAACTGGGTAGATTTCAGAAGTAACTCACCAGGGAACTAGAGGGTAAACCAGAGCCTTGCTAGCAGAAGGAAAGTGCCCTTCACTTAGAAGAGGAGCAAGTTGGGGTGGGGGACTCTGTTCATTCTCTAACATTCTACCAGGCTGGTGTCGCTTGCCAGGTTGGGTGCTGGGGACCCAGGAGCAGGACTGTAGGCTCCTGACAAGCAGATGAGTTTGGCCTATGATGCACTGAGTTTGAGGAGCCCATGGGACTCATGCATAGAAACATCCAGAAAGTAGTGGGGCAGGGGTGAGCTGGAGAGGCCCCGGCTCTCTGACAGGCCAAAGAAGTAGCTTTAAGGAAGCCTGGAGAACCTGGGTCACAGACCCGAGGAAGTCCAAGTTTCCAAAAGGAAGGGGATGCTCAACCTGTCGAGAGAGGAGACAAGCTCGAAGGCCCTCAGGGGCCCTCAGGAAACTCCGGTAACTGCAGGAAACACTGCCCAGAGTGTCCGAGGTGCTCTGAGCAAAATACAGGGCCCGGCAGGAAGTGGCAGCGTCGCCGCACTCACTGGGCAGAGGCAGAAGGATGGCTGTTGGTGGCAGACCCAGAAAAGCCCTGGCAGCCCTCAGGAGGACTCCCAGGGCGGCACTGCCTCACCCAACCCCACCCAGGATGCTGTCCCTCCCGCTGGCATCCCTCCCAGGAGGTCTGACCCCGCCTACTAATCCCTAGCTACCTGAGGGTAGAGCTATGGCGTGGATCCGGGAGTCGTCTCACAGCCCCCACATGGTGAGTGAACCAGGGAGCAGAGGGGAGCAGCGATGGGCTGGGAGCCCAGGGAGGAAGTGGGCTGGGCCCCCGCAAGTTCCTCAAACAGGTTAGCTGCATCGCTCTGCCGGCTGCAGGTGCATCTCAGGCCGTGGCATTTCTCACACGCACAGCTCGGGAACAGCTGTTTTCCAGCTATTTCATTTAAATTAATTATTATTTTAACGTGTCACCTGTGAAGAACTTTTCCCTCCCTGTAACCACCCTGAGTTGATCTCGAAGGTGCTGCCCTAGTTCATCTCCAGCAGTTAGGTTTAAATAATGGCGCCCCATCACCTTGGCCGTACCCTTCCCTGCAGTGCAGGCAAAACCTCTCCAGTCCCAACCCGGGCTCAGTTTTCTGAAGAAGCTAGAACGAGACGCAGTAAGAGAGGTCCTAAGGCATGGCAGGCCACACAAGACCACAGTGAGCTGCAGAACAACCCCAAATAACAGTTTTCTCATCTAGGGAATCTCCAAACACCCTTCTGGAGGGTCACAGTGGAACTACCCTCTGCCTGTGGTGCTGGCTAAGTAGGAGGTTGGTGCGCCCTCCCTCGGCCCCTCTGCTGGATCTGACATGCGCTGTGCTCAGTGGGGAGCCGCACGGTTACTTGAGAAGGGCACAGGCTTCGGGGCCAGGCCGACCTGGGCTCAGATCCCACTTCTGTCCCTCAGCAGGCTTGGCGGCTTTAGAAAACTTACTGAACCCCTCTAAGCCTCAGTGTGCTCACATGCAAGTAGGGGTTTCTATGAGGATCCATCCATGTGATGACAGAGACCTGAAGGACACGAGGGAATAAACCACAGAGATGTCTGGGGAAGAGCATCCCTGGCACAGGGAACAGCCAGTGCAAAGGCCCTGGTGCAGGAGGGCGGCACAATGGAGGAAGAGCAAGCAGGCGGCATGCATGCGTGGAGGAGGGTGGGCGACGGAGAGAAAAGCCGGCGTGCTCGGGGCCTGGTGGGCTTCAGGAAAGACTCAGCTCTTCTCCTGAGCGTGAGAGGAAGTTACTGGGGAAGGAGGAGCTGAGAAGAGGAATAATGACCGGCCTTGGCTTTCACAGTGGTCCCTGTGGTTTCTGTGTGTAGGGCAGGTTGGGGTGGGGGTGAGGCACAGTGGAATCAAGGGTGCTAAGCAGTGATTCAGGTGACATAATGGGGCTTGAGCCAAGGTGACAGACGGGAAAGTGGTAAGGAGCAGCTGGTGTCTTCAGAAGGTAAAGCTGAAACGATTTCTGATGTGTTGGGTGAGAGTGGAGGGTATGGGGAGAAAAGGAGGCATCTAAGGTAGCCTGGACATTGTCGGTCTAAGGAAGTGAAGCAATGGAGCGAGCTGCCATTTTTTAATGGAATGAGCAGGACTGGACGGTAAAATTGAGAGTTGGTTTTGGGCGTACGTCTCTGATTAAACAATCAGGTCGAGCTACAGAGTTGGCTGGGTGCGTCTGGAGTTGAGGGAAGAGGCCGGAGCCGAGGGTGTAAATGTGGGAGTTGTGCGCACACAGACTGTCGTTCCAGCCCTCGGTTGGGTGAGGCCCACAAAGGGCGCGATGTTAGAGAAGCGGAGTTATTCAGGAGTGAATGCCACTGCTTCCAGCCACAGACAAGGGTCAGCCACTGGGGGCGGCAGGATGGAGGGCGAAGAACCAAGGAATGGTCAGCACAGTGTCAGATGAGGCCCCAGCTCAAGTAGAATGATGGCAGAGGAGGGGTTAAACTAAGAGTGGAGGAGTCGGCACCGGCCCTGGTGAGAGCACCACTAGCTCCGTGGTGAGGACTAAAGCCAGAGGGGGAAGGAGCATGTGAAAAGTGAGGAGTTGGAGAAAAACGTAAGGAATTCTTTCAGAAGCCTGGCCATGAACGGAAGTTTTTAAAATGATGGAGAAGACCACCGAGAGAAAGGAGCACGCGAGCGTGGAAGCTGCTGGTGGAGAGGGCTTCCCAGGGCGTCACAGCCTCCGGAGCCGGGAGGCTGCGGAAGGCAGAGGAACGTTAGGTGAAAAGTTGGTGAGGGGGAGTGCTGTGTGCCCTGTTCTGTGAGCCCAAAGGAGTCCCAGTGCAGCAAGAAAGGGCAGAGGAGTCAGGACGGGGGATCGAGAGATGTCAGGGAAAGGAGGGCTGGGAAGTTATACATGGCAGCCTGTCTCCTTTACAGGAAGAAATCTGTCCCCAAGGGGAAGGAGGTGCCACCCGGCCGTGCCAGTGGGCGTCGGCAGTGAACGTTAGGCACCGGTACATCTATGCAGCCCAGCCGGCACTGAGCAGAGTCCTTGTGGTCGACGTGCAAGCCCAGAAAGTCCTACAGGTACGTCTAAGGGGCGAGGGGACTTCTGGTCCTGGGGCACAGCCTGCCAAGTTCTTTGCTTTCTGTACCCGCCCCCCGGCTGCTGGAGGGGTGGTCAGGTGGGAGGGGAGAAGCGAAGGAGACGCCTATGTGGCGGTTCAGCAGGCCTTGACCTAGGTGCCAAGCACCATTCTAGGGTCTTGGAAATGTGAAAGATGTTATATACATATCAAGTAAGCGGTTAGATAAACAGTGAAAGGACAGGGAGGTCTAAACCAGAGATGTCAGTGCAGGTATCACCACCACACGAACTCCGTGAAATCCAGAGACCCGAAAGAAGAAGCACGGGGCGGGGGTGCACAGACAGAGGAGAGGTCGAGGTGGGAGCACATCATCACTTAAAGATCACGAAGAGAAGCAGCAGCAAGGGGACCCAAAGGAGTAGCTGAAAGGTAGGAAGGAAATTACAGAGGGGTGCGTTCCAGAAGCCAAGAAGAGAGTGTTTTAAGGGAGAGTTCGTGGTCAGTCAGGGGAGGCGAATATTGCAGAGAACATCTGTGTTATAAAAACTGAGAATGGACCGTTGGACCTGGTGCCACGTGGCTCACCTCAGCAGGAACAGAGGATGGGGACGGGGGAATGCAAGCCCGAGGGGGCAGGTCCGAGTTAGAGCGCTGAGCATGCAGGTGGAGACGGTGGATGTAGGCAATGGCTTTGAGGGGGTTTGCTGTCAAGGTGGGAACGTACCAGTGGGCCAACAGGACAAGCCACTGGAAGAGCATGTGGAAGGACCTTTGTTTTTAGAAGAGCTGACATCACAGCATTTGTATAATAATAGGAAAATTTGTTCCCACAATTCTTCCCTTTTTTCTGCCTCCTGAGATTATAAGCAGGCATCAGCAAAGTCCAGGGCAGATGGGCATGCTGGCCATAATAAAGGCCCATTCTCTCACTGAAGAGGAGGAAGCAAAGCATACAGATGCAGGGGCAAGGATGTGACACAGTCACTGGTCATCGGCTGAACTTCCCTTCTGGTTGCCTTGATTTTCTCAGAGCAAAAAGGAAAATTACCGCCAAGGCTGGAGGTTTCAGGAGAGAGGAGATGGTTGCTGTGAGACCGATGGGCCCCGGGGGGTGGGAAAGGACTGCTGACCGTGTGTGCAAATGCAAAGTGGGCCGCTGTGCGGGGCTGCTCTCCCCAGCAGTACTCGGCTGCGCTGCTGCAGACTCACCGATGTAACTGAGACAGCAGTTTCTCCTGGAGAATACAACAGGGGGCTTTCTAACTTTCTTTGTTATTGATTTCCCTGGCCCTCTGAGAACATACTCTGAATAACTTAAAATACCTGGGATTTTTTGTCCTCTTAGTCTGTCAGCTGCCGTGAGGTGTGTAGAACACGCCCATGGTGACTGATTCTGAGTCCCACCTGTAACCCCTCTCCTCCCCCCACCGCCCCTGGAAGGCACCTGGACTTCACTGCAACCTCCTCTCTGTTCTGATGGAGCTTCTTGCCTGAACGTCCATTTTCGTCTCAGTTCAGCTCACCAGATTTATTTTAATGAGTGTTACCGTGCTGCAGTTTTCTACCCTTTCCCCTTCAATCTTTCTACACCCATATACTTCAGGCAGTCTTTTATAAAGCCACCTCTGGTCTTTTGGTTTTTGGCTTTTATCTAGTTCAATAATCTTGGTCTTTTATGTGGAGAGTTTGATCCATTTATATTTCATTTTTAATTAATTTATATAGTATTCTAGTATCTTGTTTTTTGTTTTGACCTCTCTGTTTGTTGCTTTTCTCTCCCTTTTGCTTTTGAATTAGTCAAACATTTTTATTACTCCATTTTTCCCTCTATTAGCATGCTGACGGTTCCTTCTTTTATATTATCGTCATTCCCACCATCGAGACCACCACCTGCACCCTCGCCTCAGCAGTTTCACACGCACTGCAGCTTCACTTCCCCGTTAGTGACAGAACACGAACCCCTCACACCCCCTCCAGCCTCCTGCCCTGTTGTAGGAGTGAATTTTGACTCTGCACATAATTTAACCCCTCAGGAGCTGACTTACTACTCCGTATGATCATTTATATCCGCCCACACACTCACTTCTCCATGGTTCCTTATTGCTTCCTGAAGTACCTGCTTATGTCTGGGGTCCTTTTCCCTCAACCTGCATGAGATTTTTTTGTTGTTGTTCTTTTGGTACAGGGCTGCTGCTAACAGGTTCTCATGGTTTTTGTTTGTTTGAAAATAACACTTGCCCTATATTTTTGAAGTATATTTTTACTGGCTGCAGAATTCTACATTGGCAATTGTATATTTTGACATTTTTAGATGCTTCTCCATCCTCTTCCCATTCCTTTCATTAATAGGTCAACTGTCACTGTTACTCTCACTCTCTTGAAGATAATATATCACTTTTCCTACTACTTTTCAGATTTTCTTTGGTCTTTAGCAGCTTTGCGACAATGTGCCAGGGAACGAATCCTATGTATTTATTTTGATTTGGGGTTTTCAGAGGTTCTGCGATGTATGGACAGATATTCTTCCTCACGTTGGGAAATTCTCAGCCATTATTTCCTCAGATACTAGCCTGCTCCATCCTCTCTCGCTTCTTCTTTAGGAACTCTGGTTGCTTTTTAAAGTCAGATCCTTCTGTTGCATCTCACTTATCTTTTTCACTCTGATCGTCTGTCCTTTTCTCTCTTTTCAAGCCTCAGTTTGGAAATGTTCTGTCAACCTTTCTCTTCACTAATTCTATCTTTTGTGTCTAATATGGATCTGCACAAAACCTATTTATTGAGTTCTTCATTTTAGGCTTTGCATTTTTTTACTTTAAAATTTCAGCTTAATTCCAAACTACCTTTTTGATGGATCACCTGGGGGTCTATTTCTATTGTCTTGTTTATGGTGTTTTCAGTCATATAGTCTGTATTTTGGAATGCCTAGTGAGTTTCTTGAATGCAAAACATTTCCATATAAAATATTTCAGAAATTTGGGATGGCTCTCGCCCACCAAAAAGGATTTACCATTTCTTTTGCTAGGCAGAGAGGGTAGACAGTGAATCCCTTTGACCTAATCCATCACCACGTTGCGTCGAAGCCGAGGTGAGGTGTTTGCAAGGCTCGCTGCTAGCCCAGTGCGTTCTCCAGGACCTTTTCCGTTTACTCCTCAGCATGTTGAGGCTGAAAAACTCTTTTCTGAATTTGAAGCCACAAGGCAAAAATCTATTAGACTCTTGCTTCAAATGAGAATATGAAATAGGGTGGAAAAGGTTAAGCAGAAAGAAGAGAGAATGGCTACAGTCCAAACCTCAGGGCAGTCTTGCTGTGAAGAGGGCAGACATTTGGAAGAGAGATGTATAGGCAGGGGCTATTTTTAAAGAAGGGTGTACAAGAAACTAGAAATAGTGTCAGGATAATGTCACTGCTGGTGGTTCCAAAGCTCTGGGTGGAGGAAGATGGTGCCAGACCACGAGCCTTTGGAAAGTGCAGGGAAGCAGCCAGGCAGCCAGGAGATGGTAGACATACGAGGCATAGCCCTAGACACGAACAAAGGACCTGGGGGTGCGAAGTGTAGGAAAATAACAACAGCCTCTACTTGAGGCTTCAGAGAACAGGAGGTTAGAGCAAGGAGTAAAAGGAGACTTCAAAGATGTTGATGAATGGAGAAAAAGTAAAATACATTTCATCGGGGATGAGCAAACATCAGGAGTTCGGCTTTGGAAATATTGAATCATCGGCAGAGAGGTGGACTCTAACGTCATGGGCATCCAGCAGGTTATTTATGGCCTGGTGCTGGGTGAGCTCCTCCGGGGAAAGGCTGCGGATGAGAGCAGGGCACAGCGGAAGGCCCGGGACAGGCCAGCACTCAGAAGTCCGCATGAGGAAGACAGGCGTAGGGAGGTGGGAGGCTGCGTAAAGAAAATGTCTCCAAGAGGGATTAATTAATCATGTGGAGTGTCGCTGTTATGTCAGGTAAGAGGAGGATCATGGGGAGGGCCCTCGGAATCCGACCCGAAGAGCTAGAACAGGCCAGTGGAGAGACGAAGAGAGAAACTTGGTGGGAAGGAGGACTCAGGGACTCCATAGCTGGTTCTTTTGAGAAGTTTTGACCCACAGAGCTTTCTCCCCTAAAGTCAGAAAAGCTACAGTCTGGTTAGCTGAAACTGAAACTTCAGAAATTGTAGACAAGGCCTAAGTTACGGTGGCTGAAGTGTGGCGGAAGAAAAGCCCACCGAAACCAAGGACATCAGAGAGCCGGGCAGTGGGTGAACCATCTGCGTGGGTCTGAAGGCACCAACCTGAGGAACAAGTGCCTGGGAGAGAAGGCAGGGAGCAGGTGTTCCTGTCGTGAGTGAGCACGGGGAGTGGCTGGGATGTTGGCCAATGGCAAGAAGAGCAGGGGTCATAGTCCAGTGGCAAGAGCAGCACAGAACAACGTTTTATAACTTATAAAACTACATTATACGCAGAAAAGAGAAAGGTCTCCATTTGACAGGCCACAGGGGAAGCTCCATCCTCAGGGGATGGCAGAGTGTCAGCAGGGAAGAGAGTCTGCCTGGCGCTATAGTCAGTCCCAGAAGCTGCCGCTGAAGGACGTGCAAGACAGAGGCTGTGTGCAAAGATTAAGTGATAATGCATGAGTTCAGAGTGAGGTGCTGATGACCCAGGGCCCTCTCCCCAGTATCCAGGCCATGGAGCAGCCCGGGGAAGAACACAGAGGGTTTAAGGGGCCCAAAGGCTTCCAGGGGGTGGGGGGAGGGTCCTCAGCTAGCTCCTGAATGGAGTGTTCGGGCTTTTGCCAAGATGCTCTGGGTCTCTCCAAAGACAAACCCAGAAGGGAGGCTTCTGCACTGGGTTCCCAAATAGCCTCACCGGCAAGGCCTCTGGGCTGGCCTTCCTCCCACCCAGGGGTAACAGCCACGCACACAGAGCCCAGAAAGGACCACTGTGGCAGCCTCTACAACAACCACGACCAACTGGTCATTATCTTTTTTCAAGTCCATAGGTGTGGACCCTCTGCCGGCCAAGCTGTCCTATGACAAGTCACATGACCAAGTGTGGGTCCTGAGCTGGGGGGACGTGCACAAGTCCCAGCCAAGCCTCCAGGTACGTTGAACACAGGAGGCAGCACCTCCCCCTTTCCCCCACTCCGGAACAGCCTCTCTCCCTGTTTAAGCCTCTCCCACTTCCCTCAAGGCCAACCACATCTATCCAAACCTGCCCATAAAGGCTGGAGGAGACAGTAGAAACAGCCTCAGGCCAGCACCCCTCACAGGTGACTGACAAGGTGTGTCCGGCAAGGCCTGCTGCTGGAGACAGTGCCACTGGTGGCAGATAGGAGGCTGATGTTGCTGGGACCAGCATGAGGCTCCTGGGGTCCAGCAGCAGTGGGGGTGCAGGCAGGAAGAAGGGAGACCATCTCTCTTTGCCCTGCGCTAGGTGGTCTAGAGAACTAGAGCCAAAGCAAGCACCAGACACCGGCCAGTAGGGAAGGGCAAGGAAAAGCGGCAGCAGCAATTATGCCCATTAGCAGAAGCATGTTTACAGCGTGCTTCCAGTGTGCTAGGGCTCAAAAAAGCTGGGTAACCTGCCCGCAGTCCAACCCCGGCAGCAGGCTGTGCAGCCGCCACCTGCAGCTGCGTTACCACCTCCCGGGAAGAGCTTGGGCCCCGGGATCTGTGGGATTCCTCCCTCTGCCAGCCAGGGAAGATCCACAGCTGCCCTCTGCTGAGTGAGCCTGGTTCGGCCTTTCTCCTCAAAGATGCATGAGAGGATGCAGCTGTACCAAAAGTGGTTGGAATGCCTGTTTTCTCAATTCTCCCCCAAAACAGTGCATAGAACCATTCTAGATGCACAGAAAAGTTAATTCATTACATACAATGGATGCCTCGGGCGTGAGGGTTTAATTTCTCTCTCAGAACCCCAGCTAAGAAGGGCTACAGATGGAGCCAAGTTCACCCTGTTCCCAGGACTGGCAAGAGGCCAGGGACACCTGGGTCTCCAGAGGCTTCCTCCCGGGGACTGGCCACCGGCCTGACTTCCTTGGGAAGTCAGCACCAGGGGAAGGACATGACTTCACCTCCTATAAACTGAACCTATTGTCACTTGATGGGCTCCTCTACCAGTCTTGAGCCCCTGTGAGCTGACAACAAATAACAACAACCCATCAAAGGACCGAGGAGCCAGAACAAAGGTCACTCAGAACAGAGGCTAAACCTGCAGAAAGTGGTGTCACCAGTCCCCCTGGCAGCTCTAAGAATGCCCTTATGGAAACTCGAGGGGAACAGCCACCAACGATCCTTCCAGAACTAAGAATGAACAGAAATGATTCTCTAACTTCCAACTGCAGTAGATAAGTTCAGAAATACAGAGTTTCTGTTGAGACCCAAATAGTTGCCTGAAAGATAAAGAACAAGAAAATCTCAAATCCCAGACCAAATATATGAAGAGATTGTGACTTGATGTCTCAGAAGTTCAACAGGAGCTTGGAAAGAGAGAAGGAAACGGCTGGAATGGAGTCCGACATTAAATAAATTTGGAATAATAACTACCAAGCTACAAAATATAATCATGTACATTGAAAAGGACCTACAGCTTCCAAGCTAAACTGCTGAGAAATGACACCTCTCTGCCCTTGTTGGTAAAAGAATAGAGGGGAAGCCTTACAAGGCAGAAGGAGCCAGTGACCTGCAGAAGAAATGACAGTCCCGTGGGCCTTGGACAGCGTGGCTGCAGCAGCAGCTGGAAGACTGTGGAGTCACACAGCCACGCTACTCAGATAAAAGGGGTGACATCCAAGAATCTTGTACCCCACACCAAGACATCATCTACCTGTCAGAACGAAGACAGATATAAGGATGTGCAAGAATCCAGAGAGCGCATCGATCATGGGTGCCCCCTGAGGAGCCTGTTGGAGGAACCAGATCAGAGACATCAAGACAGAGAATGATAGAGACGAGACAGTCGTATGTAAGGAACCTAGAGAGGAAGGTGTAAAATTAAAAGGTGGACGAGGAGACACTATCTAGAAATGTACAGTAAGTACTAAATAAGGATGTTTGAATTAGCAGACACACTGAAAGAGAAATCCTGGTAACAGGACATTACAAATAAATTATTTCAGTAAAACTGAGTATGGAGTGGAGGGACAAGGAGGAAGTAAGAATATTCAAAAATGCCATCCCATTGGGATAGAAGAGGGTACAGAGAATGTTTGAAATCAACAGCTTAGAACCGAGTGTCTCAGTCCCAATGAGACAACTGAATGAAAGCAGAGATGATCAGATTGGGCTTTAAAAAAATGAAGGAAAAAAGAAAACCATAACTTGTTTACAAGAAACACATAGGATGGTAATAAGAGACTTAATTTAAAGGGGTAGAAATAGCGATGGACAGGGGAACAATATGTATGTGCAGCTGGTGATACTCTTACCACACGAGGCAGAGCTGAAGGTTCAAAGCGCTCACCAATGAAAGGAGAGACGTGTGCGACGACGGCCAGCTGGTAGATGTCCAACAACATGACAACTACACACGTGAAACATAAGCAATTAAAAACATGAAGGACCTGAATTTAAAATGTGCTGACCAGTGTTTTGCCATGTCTAATGCACATCCACACAGAATTATCATGCCCATGGAATGTAATCATTATACCCATGTATAATGTGCATCTTTATTTTTCCCTCAAAAGTTTGGGCAAAAAAGTGAGCATTATACACAGCAAAATACGGTAAATTGTACGTACCAAGGAGACAAAATAATAACATGGGAAAATCAAATAATATGAATAAGGAACTTGGTTTAATTAATATATAGGAAACCTTTCATCTGCCACAAGTTTTCACATGTTCACATATAGATAAGTGTACCAGTAATCACAAAGGAAACATTTACAAATTTTGCAAATGTTATAGGCTACATTATCTGATAATTAGAAGTAATTAAAATGTGACCTAATAAGAAAGCAATTCTAGATCATTATTAGATCAAAGAGGAAATTAAAAGGGAAATAATAAACAATCTCAAAAGCAATGAAAGAGAGAACATTTCACATCAAAACCTAAGGGAGACAGAAAAGGTTATACACAAGGAATATTTGTGCCTTAAAAGCCCACAAAGGAAGTATTTGTGTTAAGAAATTAGAAAAAGAACAAAGTGACTGATAAGAATAAAAACACTGAAATTAATAGAAAGAAAATAATAAGGGAACACATAGAGAAACAGATAAATCCTTCTCATACCCAATAAAGCAAAAATAACAAAAACAGACACAATGAAGAAAAAGGGAGGGATGTGAACACAGATACAGGAGAATGAAATAATTGTAAAGTAACACTACATTGCAATTCTGGGGCAGCAAAGTTTAAAACCTATTAGAAATGGATAATTAGACTTCCAGCCAAGACGGAGGCATAGGTAGACACACTGTGCCTCCTCGCACAACCAAAAGAAGGACAACAACCACTTAAAAACAACCAGAACTGCCAGAAAATCTAACTGTATGGAAGTCCAACAACCAAGGAGTTAAAGAAGAAACATCCATCCAGACCGGTAGGAGGGGCAGAGATGGGCAGCTGGGTAGAGAGGACTCTCAACAAGGTGGTGGCTCTCGGACCAGGCAGGTGGCAGCTGGCAGACCGGGAGGTCCCACATTCATGTGCGGATAAACCGGGAGGAACAACTGGGGAGTAAAACAGATGGCACAACCCAGGGTCCAGGTGCGGGGAAATGAAGCCTCAAAACACCTGTTGAAAACATCTGTGGGGTTGTGGCAGGGGGAGAAAATCCCAGCCTCACAGAACAGTTTGTTGAAGAGACCCACAGGGTCCTAGAATGCACACAAGCCCACCCACACAGCAATCAGCATAAGGGCTGGTCGTGGATATCAGGGAAAGTGACTGAAAGCCAGCAGAGAACAGAGCAAGTGGCATTGTTCTCTCTCGGACCCTCCCCCACATACAGCATCACTACGCAGCAACGTGGGTTACCCCACCCTGGTGAACACCTAAGGCTCTACCCCTTACTATGTAACAGACGTGCAGAGACAAAAAAATGGCCCAAATAAGAACAAATCAAAGCTCCAGAAAAAATACAACTAAGTGACAAAGAGATAGCCAACCTATTAGATGCACAGTTCAAAACACTCATAATCAGGATGCTCCAAGAACTCACTGGGCACTTCAACAGCATAAAAAAACACCCAGGCAGCAATGAAGGTCGCATTATGTGAAATAAAAATCTACAGGGAACCAACAGAAACAGGAAGGAAACCGGGACTCAAATCAATAGTCTGGAGCAGAAGGAAGAAAGAAACATTTATTCAGAACAGCATGAAGAAACAAGAATTCAAAAAAATGAGGAGACACTTAAGAACCTCCAGGACATCTTTAAACATTCCAACATCTGAATCATAGGGGTGCCAGAAGGAGAAGAGGAAGAGCAACAAATTGAAAACTTATTTGAAAAATAATGAAGGAGAACTTCCCCAATCTGGCAAAGAAAATAGACTTCCAGGAAGTCCAGGAAGCTCAGAGAGTCCCAAAGAAGTTGGACCCAAGGAGGAACACACCAAGCCACATCATAATTACATTACCCAAGATTAAAAATAAGGAGAGAATCTTAAAAGCAGCAAGAGCAAAGGAGGCAGTTACGTACAAAGGAGTTCCCATTAGACTGTCAGCTGATTTCTCAAAAGAAACCTTGCAGGCAAGAAGGGGCTGGAAAGAAGTATTCCAAGTCATGAAAGGCAAGGACCTACATCCAAGATTACTCTATCCAGCAAAGCTTTCATTTAGAATGAAAGGGCAAAGTGCTTCTCAGATAAGGTCAAGTTAAAGGAGTTCATCATCACCAAGCCCTTATTTTATGAAATGTTAAAGTGACTTATCTAAGAAGATAAAAAAAAAATATGTATAGCAAAATGACACCAAACTCACAATTATTAACAAAACCAAAAGAAACTAAGCAAACAACTAACTAGAACAGGGACAGAATCACAGAAAGGGAGATCACATGGAGGGTTACCAGCAGGGGAGTGTGAGGGGGAGAGAGGAGGAAAAGGTACAGAGAATAAGTAGCATAGATGGTAGGTACAAAATAGACAGGGGGAGGTTAAGAATAGTATAGGAAATGCAGAAGCCAAAGAACTTGGCTTCTTTCTATGGCTTCTTCTATGTACAACCCATGGACATGAACCAAAGGGGGGGAATGCGGATGGGAGGGGGTGTGCAGGGTGGAGGGGAAAATGGGACAACCATAATATAAAATATATTTTAAAATAATATATATACAAGAAAATATATTTTAAAAATAAAAATAAATTTTAAAAAAGAAATGGATGATTATTTACAAAATGTAAAAAAAAAAAAAAACTGACCTAAGAAATGGAAAACAAACCAGAACAATTATCTTAGGAGAGGCTTCTATAAGATTAAAGATAGATCATTAAAAAATGTACATCTACATTTTCTCAGCCCTTCAAAATATAATTTTAATATTATTTGAACTATCTCAGACCACAGGAGAAAAAAATGTACAGCTCCTTCATTTGTTTTAAAAAGCCCATATTCTTATAATTATGAAAACTGATTAGTTTATAGTTTTATTTTTTTGCCATTTTTAATCTCACGAATACATGAACAAAATTCTAGCCAAGGTGTTAGAAGTGGAGTCCAGCCACGCATCCCACAGCTCACAAGGGGAACACGTCCCCAGAGGCAATGACAGCCCGCTCCCCAGAAATCAGTCAGCATTACACGTAACACAAATTAAACCAGAAAAAGAAAAAAGCCCTGTGATATTTCCAATAAATGCTGAAAATGTATTTAATTAAATGCAGCGGATGTTCTTAATAAAATACCTAGAAATGGGACTAGAAGGAAACTCCTTAAATATAATGAAGACCATTTCCCAGAAACCAAGAGCAAATTTTGTCTAACTGGTAAAGCACTAAAAGCATTTTAATTAATTTCAGTAATTAGACCATGATGTCCACCATCACCATAATTGGCAACTCTGGGAAATGGACTATGACAAGAAAATGAAATAGATTGAATAAACCTACCTTCATCGGTGTCATCCAGGGTTAAGGAAATGAGCACTTCCAAAAACTGCTTCCAGAAAGGTCAGCTGGCATAGGCTTTGCAGTGAGCAATTTGAAATGTGGATGAAAAGCCTCAAAACAGTGCTTTTGGATCCAGCAAATTGACTTCCCAGAACTTATCCCAAAGCAGTGATCATAGGTATGAACAAAGATTCAGTTACAACGTTATGTTTCTGTGTCGTTTATATTTACAAACTGTTAAAAGTAACATTCTAACATTTCTAAACACCCAGCATTAAGGAATTGGCTGCAAACCTCGCTGTGACTGCGGGAAGGTGCTTCGACGCAGGAGGCCGCCCCTGGCAGCCATGGTTTGGGCCTTGGCCCAGCACAGTCTGGCCCACTCACTCCCACGCTCAGCTTTCAGCTGCCTTTCAACCTGTCCCACCGGGTGCCTGGTCCCCTGCCCTTCCCCAAATGTCACTTCGTAGCTTACTTATCCACCCTCTATGGAGATGCCCAGTCTTTCTTACCCTGTGCCGACTACCAAATGACCTCTGATACCCGGCTGCATTATGTACCCCTCCTGCACCGAGCTCATAGACCCAGTAAATTTGGGGGGTTACCTTGGGGCCACTGAGGTACCCAGCCACACGCTAGTATACAAGCCAAGGGGGACATGACTTGTTGGAGCCACAAGGCTGACATGCCACATCAGTTCAGTGGCCTGTGGTACCGCCTTTTAATGCAGTGACCTCTGAGTAAAGGGCGTCAGAGTGGTGAGGTGTGCACGGCACCAACTGCTGACAGCCTGTCATTTCCCATCTCTGTTATAAGCCAAAGTGACAGGGCTGCTACCGAGCAAGGCTCGCACAGCTCCTCGGAATTCTCTGGCATTTTCCTGTGGACTCTCAAATTCAGTCTCCTGATGCCGATCCTTCTTCGTGCTCAATTCTCTGAGCTTTTCCTCGGACCTGCCATGGAACTGTCACTTGGCCATTTTTGCAAAGTCACAGGGAAATAACCTCGGGCAACTGATTGGGGAAAGACTCAAGCCCCACACCTGCCTGAGGAGATGGCCAGGTGCTGCTGTTCTCATCATAAAAGTCGGAGCCAGGAGGCAATCCCATTCACAAAAGGAAAAAGCAGGCAGAGCTCCAGGCCACAGGAGTCGCAGAGCCCCACCCCCACCCCAATGGCTGTCCTTGGCCTGAGGCTACAGAAATCTAGATCCTTCTGTGCACACAGCCACAACAGGAAGTGGCCACGGAAGTGTCTCACCTCCCTGTTTAGGGTCCTCTGCCTTCTGTCCTGCTCAGAGTCTGGGCTTGTCCTTGGGGCCCTTAAACTGACTGAGCGCCTCACCTGGCTGCAGGTCTGCCACCATTCTGGGCAATGGCATTGGACTTGGAGGCTGATGAGCACATGTAGAAGGCAGAGGACACAGGCAGTCTGGCTCGGTATCTGGCCAGCCCAGCCCAGGCCTCGAGAACTACTGCACCCAGCCTGAGCACAGGGAGCTTTCCGGCAGGAGCCCCAGACCACCTGCCCATCCTCTCTAACCACAGACATTGCTGCACTCTGTTCTGCACTGCCCACGTGCCTGTCCCTGAGGCAGAGCAGCAGGATACATCCTGGGAATGGCTCCTGTCACCTCCTGCCACGTCCGCTGGGAAGAAAGTGCAACCTCAGGGAAACAGGCAGCCATGCTCTGTCACTACCAATTTGTACCAAACACAGGACCCAGTTCCCTACCTCTTACAGCAAGTCCCCTTTCCGACACCAGAACCTGTCCCAGCATCCTACTCACAAGGCCTCTACCCGCATGCCCAGCAGGTCTGTCCAGGATCCCCGCCCGGTTCCTGCTTTCTCTAATGAACCGTGGAAACACAGCCCCCGGCGAATGCCTTGGTGAGCCGAGTGTGACAGACTCCCAACAAACCAGCCCAGGCACTGAGCATCCAAGGAAAATAAATAACCAGTAAACTGTCACACAGTTTAACATTTTCATTATTTAAAAGCTCTCCCCTTTTCCCTGGGGGGGTCCTAGGTGATGAGGAGGTAGGCTTCCCTGCTGTGTGGCAGGTTGTCTCTGAGCAGAGTAGTGTTTCAGTTCTGGGGGCCGCCCTCCGAAGCCCCAACACAAGTCCAACATGATCCCCGCAAGTCCCTGCTCTGCAGTCACCACGGCTGACAGTGAGTGGCAGGTCACGCCTGACCGAGAAGAGGGAACCTTTCAGGCATCCACTCCTGTACCCCCCGTTCTTCGCCCGGGAAGGTCAGGTCCCTGCCTGTGACATCCTATTCTGCTTCTGCCCTGCCCCCAAGACTGGCTTATCCACCATTTCTGCAGCCTATCTGGCTGGGGGTCTCCCCGGAGCATGCAGAGGTCCCCAGGTTTCCAGCCCCGCACTGGGATGGGCCCTCACAGGACTCCCTCTCCGTATTACAGGTGATCACGGAAGCCAGCACCGGCCAGGGCCAGCACCTCATCCGCACGCCCTTCGCAGGAGTGGATGACTTCTTCATTCCCCCAACAAACCTCATCATCAACCACATCAGGTGAGACCCGCTGGCGAGGCCCTGAGGCCCTACATGATGCAGCTGCATCCTGCATGGGGCGCCTTTGCCCAGGGTGGGGCCTGCTCCTGCCTCTGTCTGCCCCGCTCCTCCTCAGCTGGCTTGGGAGCCATCAGGAAGGGACAGAGAAATGGACCTGCCCCAGTCCTTAATTGTTCAAGTCAGAAGGCACCCAGCTCCAAACGCCCTCAGGGGCCCAATGAGGCCAGGGAGGCCCATCCTCGGGTGAGGACAACAGAGGGAAGCAGGAAACAGCAGTGGCTAATTGAGCACCCTCCCCTTGCTAGACACTCACAGGAAAAAACTGGTAGTAGTGATCTCAAACCTATTTTACAGATGAGGAAACTGAGGCTCGGTTGATCAAAACCACACAGCCAGGAATTGGCAGTCCGACTAAATGCAAGGACAGGTCCCCTTTGAGCAGCCCATACTGCCTCATTCTCTGCTCACCCCAGCCATGGTTCCTCAGAGCCCCCAAGAGCAGCCATGCAGGTGCCTGGCCAGGAAGCAAGGCCCCCTAAGTGCCTGGTTTGCCACCTTTCAAAAGAAGATCCCTCTAATAAGAGCCTCCTAATAAAAGCCAGGGCCTCAGCAGCAGACCTCACCCGGGCCTGGCCACACCCCTTCCCCATTCATTCCAGAGCATCCCTGACACTGCCTGCGAAGTCGCCTCTGCCAAAGACTGAGCCTGTCCTTTATAAAGTCGTCAGGACCCAGGACTATTTGTGCCTTCCTTTGGTCTGGCATCAAGCACCTTTCTCCAGAAGTAATAACACTGGCAAGCTGATGCTGGATTTGTGAAAATAGGACTTGCCCCTTGGTCCTTGCCCAAGGAGGAAAATAACCACCTTCTGTCCCCCACCTCCACCGCAGAGGGTGTCTGGGGAAGAGCCCCTGGTGTGGTTCCAGAGGCCCAGGTCCCTCAAAGCAGCTCGATGCAGCGGCGAGCCTGCTGCTCAGAGACTCAGCAGCCCTGCGAGCACGCAGCTTCCTCATAAAGTTCCCTGTGAGAGTGGGGTTTTCCTCCCCACTCTGTCCATGCACCGCTCTTTATGGATGCGTCCCAGATTTGTTAAAGAGGGCGTTTTCCCCACTCTGAGGTACTGGTGTTCAAGAGAGAACCATGGAAGTGATTTTTCTCTGCTCCTGTAAGAAAGTAAGACACAGTGTCAAAAGGCCTCTGTGAGCAAGGGATTCGGGAGGCGGGAGGGGCACCTGATCGGAAGTCCCACTGGAGCCACGCCTTTTGCAGCCAGCAAGGGCCCTCGAGTGAGGAGCTTCAGGAGGTCCAACTGCCACCTCTGGAGTGCAGCTCTTCCACTGCAGTGTCCCTCTTAGATCAATCCTCCCCAACAGCTCTCCCGGGAACTATCCCCTGCACACTGACAGGTGTGGACAGGCATGCAACTTGCCCCAGGCCTTGTGGCTGGCCAGGCACTCCGCAGCATCAGGCCATCTGGCTCCAGAAATCAAAGCCATTCTCAGCCCCCTGCCAGCAGCATATATGTAGCCAGAGAAGCGACTGCCTCTTCCTGTTCCCAGGGAAAGAGAACGCTGATAAGAAACCCGGGCAAACTTCACTGAATGTGCGTGTTTGAATCGGACTCACCAGTGAGTCCAGAAAAGAGCGAGGCTCTGGGCTCTCCTGTCCTGTCCTCGGGGCAGGCAGAGCCAGGGCAGCCGGCACTGGTCCCTCCCCTCCAGGCCCAGGCCCACCCCTGCCACAAGGTCTCCGGGAGGCTGGCTCAGACTCATCCCCAAGGGAGAGGCTGTTGGAGGCACTTTTCCTGTCCTCCTTACCATTTCTAAAGTTGTGTGTGTGTCACAAAAGCTTAAGTCCAGGAACGCTTGTAGCTCTCTTCATGTGATTTGAGATCACAGGTGAACCATTTACTAATCTACCCCCTGCAGAGGGTAGATCTTACCCCCGGCTGTGAGACCACCAAAGGATTATGGGAAAGGGAAGGGAAGGGCTGCAGTCCCTGACCTCTGACCTCGGTTCTCCCCCTCCCAGGTATGGCTTCGTCTTCAACAAGTCTGAGCCCGCTGTTCACAAAGTCGACCTAGAAACCCTGATGCTGCTCAAGACCGTGGAGCTGCAGCCTCACGGCTGCCTGCCTCAGGCCATGGCGCACACCCACCTGGGTGGCTACTTCTTCGTCCAGTGCCGACAGGCCCAGGCCTCTGCTGCTGCTGCTGCTGCTGCTGCTACACAGCTGCTGATCGACAGTGTCACAGACTCTGTAGTCGGCCCCAACAGCAATGTGACCGGTGCCCCACACACATCCCCAGATGGGCGCTTTGTTGTCAGTGCTGCCACAGCCAGCCGCCAGCTGCAGGTGCAGGAGGTCACCCTGCGTGGGGAGATCCAGACCCTGTACTCACTAACAGTGATCCAGGGCATCTCTGACGTGGCATTCCAGCGTTCTTTCTCCCATGGCAACCAGTACTACGTGTACGCCACGCTGGAGACTGGGCCGGACCTGCTGTTTGTGGAGCTGTCCTCGGGGAAGGTGGGGGTGCTGAAGAACTTCAAGAAGCCACCCTCGGGGCCAGCCTGGCCCTGGGGAGGGCCCCGCAGGATCGTGAGGGACAGTGGGCTGTTCGGACAGTACCTCCTCACGCCAGCCCAGGGGTCACTGTTTCTCATCAACGGGCGACAAAATGCACTGCGGTGTGAGGTGTCGGGCATACAGGGGGGGACCACAGCAGTGTGGGTGGGCGAGGTATGAAGGAAGCCAGCGCAGAGCCTGGGCCACCGAGCCCCACCTCGTCCTGACCCCGCAGCCCCCAGCAGGCGCCCTGTACATTTTTACAGACAAAAGCAAAACCTGTATTCGCTTTGTGGTTCAACACTGGTCTCCTTGCAAGTCTCCTAGTCTAAGGTGTGCGCTGCTAACCAGGTTGGGGTTTTCTCATTAGGAAGTAGGACGTCTGCCTCCAGCTATGACGGGAAGCCAGGCTGCTGGGTAAAGGAGCCACTTCTGGGCCCAGCCACATGAGTATGACCTGGGGAGGCTGTGGAACCGGAAGCTCCTGCTTTCCAGGCAGACGCCTCCACCGGCTGCCTTCACACAGTCATCCTTCTTTCCGCGGGATCCGGCCAGGCTGCACCTGCCGGGGTGGCCTGGAAACGCAGGCCCTCGGGGGGCTGGGGCTCCCCTCCTGGCACGAGAGCCACGCCTGCCCTCGCTCTGCACCTTTGTCCTCCTTTGAAGCTGCTTCCCGCTTTCCCTCCCACTGGACTCATAAGCCTGAGAGAGAGCCAACAAGACTTACTACAGCTTGCAGGGTGGGAAATCACTCACTTTATTTTGGAAATTTTGATTAAAAAATAATTTTTTATAATCTCAAATGCTAGTACGCAGAAAGACGCTGTCCGAGGTCCAGCTCTGTTCATCCCTGCCTTAGGCCACGTCCCTGAGAGTCACCGCCCTACATCCCACAGCCAGAAGAACACGGCCATCGAGACTGACAGTCCTCTGCGGCACTGACACCCCACGTGCAGGTCAAGCCAGTGCGTTGAGAAAGACTCCGTTCAGGTCTGGGGCCCTGAGAGACCAGGACAGAGCCTGTGTGCCTGCTCTTCACCATGGAAGGGGGTCATTTGACGGGCCAGGGCCAGGCCCAGGGCGCTCACCTGGCAAGGTGCGGACAGCCTACAGCAGAGAGAACTCCAGGCTCGGCACTGAAACCCCAAGGACACAGGTCAGGTCCAGGCAGGCTCCTTCATCCAGCCCTTTTAAAAACCAACTACCTTCCTGCCTGTGGCCCTGGCGCCCAGCTGTGGCGACCCCAGCCCCTCATCCTCACAGTGCGGTCAGCACGGTGAGGGCTTTCATAGGGGTGTATTCTGACACACGGGCCCCTCCCCAGCAGCCCACACTCCAGAACTCCGAATCAGAGGCATGCAGGCTGGTTATTATGTTACCGAGTCATCCCCAGCGTCTCAGGCTATGGTGAGCAATCAGCAGTACCATCCCCCAGCCCTGGGAAGACAGCCTGCGTGGAAGAATCTCAGCAAGGAAGAGGCTCCTTTGGGTTCTCAGAACATTCCTTTCCGTCTCACGTCAGTGGTCAAAACATACTTACTGGTAGCTTTGCTAGCTTGAAGGATCGCTTTTCAAGCCACCTGGAGTTGGAGCAGTGGTCCCATCACAGACACCTTAGCTAGGTTCACCCCCTTCACCTCCCCCAAGGTGGCCATGATGCTCCTGTGTTGAGAATGGCCCTTTTCAGGGACAGGAAGGCACAGGCCCTGCCTCGCTCTGCATCCATGTGGCCACCTTTCATCCCCGCCTGGCCGCCCAACCCGCCTGTGCCCGCCAACTCCTGAGCTCAGCCAGTCTGAAGGTGTGGCATACACCTGTTCCCCACAACTCCCGAGAGTGTGCCTAGACATGTGCATTCACATTTTAGATTTTTTTAAAGGTACAGTACGTAGATACAGAGTGAGGAGACTGACTTCGGAAGCCTAACACTCAGTTCCACAGCAGCTGGGATGGATGGATGGATCTCATCCTTTCTGTTTATTCTTGCCTCAAACTCTGGACATGTTTACTTCCAAACTCCCACTTTTATCACTGAAATTGCCCAACTTTCATGAACTTCACCCTTTGGAAAAATCTAAACTGTGGCAGTCCCTGGCAGAAAAGTCTCCGAGCCCACCTGCAGGAGAGCCCACTGAGTGCCAGGCCTGAACGCTGGACCCTCTGGGTCGCAGCAGGATTCCTGAAAGGAGACCAAACCGGTCCCAACTGGCCTTTCAAACTGGAAGTGACTTCTACAGCATCCGACCCCTTCTACTTCCCCCTCCCAAGACAGTGCGTCTGAATAGCGCGCCCGCCTCTCATCGCCCTCACTGTGCAGCTGCAAGAGCAGCGTCAGCCTCGGACGCCGGGAACTGAAGAGAGCAGGCACAGGCCTGAGAACTGGAATTCGCAAGCCCACACAGGCTGGCAGGTAAATGTCTCTGATCAGAACTGCTTGTGTGGGAGGCAGGGGAAAGGCTGGCTGGGGAAGAGGCTTGCAGAACTCAATTTGAAAGCAAAGGGGTAAGAAGTCATCACAACAGGTGGGGCCTGAGGCCAAGCCAGCCACCTATGAACACAAACCATCACCTAACTACTAACACTTTGCATTCAAGAAGTATTCATTTAACCAAAAGAATCACCAGAAAAGCTACTCATCTAATGAACTCACTATTCTAATGTTACTGAATTTTTTAAATTAATTTCACAAAAATTTAACACATTTTTTTCAGAATAACAAACACAAATAATCTACACCTGTGGTGATATTAAGGCTTGGGAACGGGCCCTCATTCTCCTGCCCCAGTGAGCCCACGGAGAGGCTCTGGGTCCAAACGCCCACCCAGCTGCCCCCAGAGTGGCGGCAGGAAGAGGGATCCAGCTGTGTGGACTTTCTGCACAGGCGGGCCTGGGCGTGGGCCACGTGCCACGTTGCAAACGCCAGGCAGCCCAGACACTCCACCCCAGCCACTGCCTCATGTCTCTATGCTAAGTCTCAAGTCATTCGCGGGTCCTACTGCTCACCCAGGCCCCTGGAAGTAACCAGGAGAGCTCTGTAAAGACTTGGCTGGAGCCAACCGCCTATCAAGCTTCAGGCACTTCGATCTACAGACGGCATCACCAGACACAGCAGCTCAGGCCCTGCCTTCCCCTCCCCCAACCCGCCCTCTCCTCCCCTCCCTGCTCCTCTGTGCAGAAAAGGGTTCCCACTCCAGGCAGGTGCCCCGGAGGACGGCTCTCAGCCCCTCGTAAAGCAGAGTACCACCTGCTGCCCTGGAGAACAGTCCCGGCTGAGACCGCCTGTCTGAATCGCCTGTGGGAAGTGGCCTAGTGGTCAGCCTCATGGAGCCGCAACCTCCAGCTTTCTGTTGACCAAGAACTGTGAACTAAAGGCGATTTCAGAACTGAGATGTGACACAGATTCACCCCGGATATATTTTTCTACAAGGGGCTTAAAAAGTGATTGAGGAAATTCTCAGAATGGGTTTTATCTAAGTACCACGGACGCCAAACCATCTTCATCACCAAACCCCATTGCTCACTCCCTCCGATCCTCCTCCAGGAGAAGTGACTCCGCTCCCACCTCCCTCCTACACGTCCGCCAATCTACCTCACATTTCCTCCCTGCACCCAGCACCACTGGAGCACTGCCCCGTGCCAGGAGGCCAGGCAGGTGATGTGAATGACAACAATGCTGGCATGAAGTCCGTAGCCATCCTCCCCCACCCAGAAGCCAGATCCCGCTCCAGGTGCGGTCAGAAGCCATGGTTCACTGCCCCTTGCTGCCCTGAATCACAGCCCCAAACACTTGCTTGCAGCCCTGTGGAGTTAGGTGACCCAGACTAGCGAGAACTCTGAACCTCAGGAAAGTCGGCTGTTGTCAGACAGAAGCTGTCCATGGGAGCAGAGACGGTGACATCCGAGCTGAGCCTCGTCCCTGAGAGGACCTAAGCTTAGGACCTAAGGAGGACCTAAGAGGACCTCCACTTCTGTTTCATTCTCTGCTTTTCCTGCTTCCTCCCTATGCCTTGAGCCTCCTGCTCCTACAATTCAAGAGGCAACTGACCTCACCACCACACCAGCGCCTGGTGGCTTTCGCCCACACCTCATCCTTGCTTTGGGGTACAAGTAAGAAGTCACTCAGAGGGCCAGATGCCACTACTTTCCTCCCAGACTGGCACGTAGGCAAAGCAGTTGTTTTGTTTTTTTCCAAGAAAGTCACTAGCTGCCTTGGTTTCTCTCCAAAATCATAGCGATGACAGGACCGAGATGCTTTAAAAATTTAAGGGGAAAAATACACAGTACCTACCCTCAGGGTGTGAGTGCAAGACCCCAAACACCTGGCGGAGTGCAACCCACCTCCTGCTCTGGTCACTGCAGTGTCAAGCGTCTGTCCTGGGCCTGCAGGCCTGCTCAGGCCAGCTCAGAGCAGCCAGCGAGCTTGCTCTCACATGTGCTTTGGAGCTGCGAGCAGCAAGTGGGATTTTAACCAAACACGACGTGTGAAAGTATGGGAAGTACAGGGAGAATGGGGATCGGTCTCCAAAATCCACAGCAAGGCTTCTTTAACCAGTGCTGGAGTACTGAGCATGGCTATTGTTGGTCTACAAAGCCGCAATTCACACACCTGTCTTTTCCAGCTCACCTTAACTCACATAAAGCCAACCCTTTCTCCGAGGCCCCAAGAACGTGGGCCAAGACCAAGAGGTCCTAGAGGGCTGAGCCTGCACTCTGCAAAGCAACAACTGTCGACTCGCTGGGGCCCCAAGCCAGGGGGCACATGCTCTCCATGCAGAACCATGGCAGGGTCACAGGCTGCTGCCTTTTAGGGGCCTCTTCAAGGTCACAGCTCCATTTCCAAGGAAAGACAGCCAGTACTGGCTGCTTAGGGGGTCCAAGAGCCCTCGAAGGAGAAAAGTTCCTAAATCTAAACCGCCCGCTGCCCGGCATGACACCTGCCACAGGTTTAAGAGCTGTGGGTCCCTTGCTACATCAGCTGCTTCAGAGACGTGAGGGACAATCGGTCTGCAAGGCCCCACCCCGGGGCCACAGCCCCACCACCCAGCACTGCCTCACCCAGCCCTGCCCCTCCCTGGCCTGGCCCAAGGAGCCCTGCCTTCCCATGGCCCCCTCTTCCCGAAGGCTGTGTGAGATGACCTAAAAGCAGAACTGGGCATGGAGTTTTGCTGGGGTGCTCACACACACACGCTTGCTATAGTCTAGCCGAATGACCCTCGAGATACGACGTCACACACATGCCATTTGTCCCGGGAAGAGCCTCAGCCCTCCCCGCCTCAGAAAACTTTCAGATCTCTCACGTCAAGGCAGATTACATTATTTTCAACAGTTGTGTAGACTCCAAAATATATTTTCTGTAATCACCGGTATTTCGCAAAAGGCCTCCTGTAACTACTATACATTTGGA